ATATAAGAAATCTGTAAATACCCTCTTTGTAAGCTGAAGCATCTTCTAAGACCTTGCTAGCTGGCAAAATATATATGCTAACAATGGGGAATGTAGGTAGCCATTTGTGCTGGCATTACAACTTAATTATACTGGCAGCTACTATCACCTCAATTGCTTTATTTTGAAAGCAGTTCCATGAGAAATTATTGTTGCTACTTTAGATGATCTGTTTCTAGTGACACACATATAAGTAATTATACATTTATATATACAGGCACATATACAAGTTACTTATATATGCATTTGATAAGTGGATGTTATAGAAATGATATATGATGATAGATGATAGACAGACAGATAGATAGATAGATAGATAGATGGATGGATGGATGGATGGATGGATGGATGGATGGATAGATAGATAGATAGATAGATAGATAGATAGATAGATAGATAGACAGACAGGTGATAGATACATTTACAGATACCATCAGCCCTGAAATTAATGATTGAAAACAAATACGTATCTTTAGGCAGGCCAGACCTCCTGAACAGAAGCTGGCAGGAGAGTATGCTTAGACAACACTCATGCAGTGAGTCATCTGTGTTTTCACAACATGTTTCTCCCAAGCACCCATGTCTATTTGTAGCCTGACAATAAAGGCTCTATCCAAACCATCTCTGAGCTGTCTGCCTTTAAAAGCAAGGGCATTGTTCTCAGCTGACTCACTGGAGCTGTGTGTGCTATGGAGAATAACCTGCTGCCTTATTTGTGAAGGATATAATCTACTGCAGACACCCAGGGTTGCCCAGTGCTTTCTGCAAGGTCTTGGTCCTGTGCTTAGAAAGATAAATTAAGGCAGAGAATGTGAATCCTTATATAAGCCCATTATATACCATTGTTATACATTGTAGGGACACAGGAAAAGGTTGCATCCATCAATATTCTAGATAAAAGTCACATAAGCCTAGGGTTCTTACTTATTTTACCCTCTCTTTCTTTCCCCAGAACATAAAATCCTATATATCTAACACATGGTAGGCATGCCATAAACACTTGCAAAGAAACAAATTAATATCTGTCATATGCCTATGAAATAAATGATCTAAGACATATCACCAAATCCACAAAAAATATTTTGTCCTAATGCCATGTCAAAAAACTGCCAGAGGATGAAAACATTCATAAGGTATGGTACACACCCTTTCAGTCATGAGATACTCTTCAATGTAGAACGCCAGCTCATTCCCTAGTTCTTAAAACGGAACAAAAGCTATTTGTTAATTTTTCAGTCCAACAAATATGTATTAATAACCACCAGTTTTCTATCTTCCTTATTAATGTTTCTTCCATCCTCTGGAACTTCTGCACACCGTCTAGCAGGACTTGGCCTTAAAGTATAGCTTTAAAGGGGAAAATGCTTCAGATGCAAAAGAGGTAAAGTAAATTCTTCAATATTTTCATTCACAGAAACCTTTAAAAAGCCTGCCTATATTCACAGTTTTAAGAAAATTATCAATGGAAGTTACAAAATCTATTGGTAAAACAATAAAAGTTTGTCAAAAAAATCCTCATGTGTCTCCATAACTTTGTGTTGCCAACTTCCCCACCTAATATTTGATAAATGTTTGGGGGCATTGCTAAACACACTGATGCTCTAACCGATTCACGCTTCTCCTGACATCTTCAGAACACAGAAAACAGCCAGGGATTACACAGATCTCATACAACAGAGGGGAATCCCATGATTCATATTTATATTATACAACAAAGTCTACTATCCCAAGGGCTCACTCAAATAGAAACCAATTCATACAAGTTACCAAAACATGCATAGACAAACTTCTCCCCAGGTCTTAGATGCTACATTCTAAAGGTAAATCTGGGATGGAGATCTGGCTCAGTGGTATTGCACTTGCCCAGGTACTGGATAGTTTTATGTGAAATTGACACAGCCTACATCATCTGAGAGGAGGGAACCTTATATAAGGTGATACCTCCATAAATCTGACTGTAGGCAAGCCTGTAGGGCATTTTCTTAATTAGTTATTGATGGGGGTGCCCAGCTTTTTGTGGGTGGAGCCATCCCTGGGCTAGTGGTCCTGGGTTCTGTAAGAATGCAGGCTGATCAAGCCAGAGGGAGAAAGTCAGTAAGCAACCTCTGAATCAGTTCAAATCACCAGGTAACTGCCTTGTTTTGAGTTCCTATCCTGACTTCCTTTAATAATGAAAAATTATGTGGAAGTATAAACTAAATAAACCCTTTCCTCCCCAAGTTTCTTTGGTTTTGCTGTTTCATTGCAGCAATAGAAACCCTAACTAGAAGAACAAGGCCCTGAGTTCAACACTCAGCATCCCCCCATACACACACACACACACACACACACACACACACACTTATGTTTCAGTCCAAGTAGACCTCTGTCTTTCCTAACAGAAGTTGTTTTTGTTCTTAAATATCTGCTCAAAACCAGACAGTGCATCCCTCAAACATCATCAGATTAGTTTCCTTGTTCACTGAACAGCAATTAACAAAGAAAATCATAACTGGTCAGTGTATAGAGCAAGAGTCTCTATGGAGTGCTCAGCCACTAACAGCATCAATCTATCCATCCCTTGAAAGGCTTGACAATCATCTAAGAAGAGGGGAAGAAATATTCTCAGCCAGAGGCAGAAGAACTGGAGAAAACGGAACCCTCTGAAAATGACAGGAACTGTTGAACTCCTGAATCCACGGCATCTGCAGTCGCCTGCTGAGTACAGGCATTAGATCAAGTCATTCTGCACGCTAGCCTGGAGACAGGATGGCTCAAGAGCCCCCACTTGAGGAGTTATTGACAGAGTATGATCTCTGGGGTAGGGAGAATCAGTTGTGTATAAGGAAGTGACCCCCTAGTAGGCCAACCAGGCTTTAATGGTTGGCCCCACACCTCTGAGCATACGGCCATCACAAGCTGGATTTAGGGGGTTATTTTCAACAGAGGTCATGAAGCAGCTGAGAAGGCTCAATGTGATCAAAGCACAGCACATGCACTTCTGAAATTCTCAAGAATAAAAATATTAAAAAGCAAAGGGAGAGTCAGTAAATAAGATAGGTGTTTAATTGTAAAATAAATATTCACATACCAAAGTGGAGGGGGGGTTAATAAACAGCTGAGGCCCTCATAGATCCACTTTTGAAATGCCACAGATTTCTTCGATTTCCTCAGCACGTGGCTGCATGTGCTAGCTCTATGCTGGCCTGAAGGGTTTCTTCAGTAATTTCCTTTCCATTGGTTTCCTATATGACCGGCTTTGGTCAACACTGTGTGGTCAAGGATGAGAAATTGCTGCCCAGCTTGAATCTAGGCCAGAGTCTATGAAAACTGCATTACTGTTACAATTTAGTTGTTTATCCCTGTCTTATGAATGGGGGTATCCACGGCAAGAGTGGTAGCAAAACTCTCTTCCTGTGCTTAGGTTTTAAATCACACACAATTGGTCTCTGGCACCCATGCCTGTGATAACACAGAGATTCATACCTTTGACCAGCAGAATGATAGTTTTTCAAATGCTAATCAATGGTAATACTTGATAGTTATACACTTTCATTGACAGTTTGAATTTCAGTGAGTCTTTGAAAGTCAGAAAATGAAGCAACATCAGATACACAACCACCTGAGATGAAACAATAAATGGCACTTGCCCCTTTCCCAGAAGCCTCCGCTCTTAAGGGTGCCTATCCTGTGAGGAAGCCCAAGCTATCCTTGTGGAGAAGTCATGTGAAGCATCCCTAGAACCCAGCTGCTCCAGGCACTACTCTAGCCTAGGCACTTTTGAGAAGAAAGCCATCAGACAATTTCAAACTCTGGTGCCACCTAACTGTGATGTGTATGAAGGGACAAAGAAAGAACTATTCTGCCGAACCCTTCAGCTGCCACAGCCATGAGATGTAATATAAAATGGCAGTTTTAACCTAATGGATAAGCATACTTAACTTAAAACATGATTGTGTGATTTTCTTTCCCCTTGGTACTTGGTATCACAAAAGTGTTGCCATCTTCACATCTAGAAAGGATTCTAGAACATAAATATTTACTAGAGCCAAAGCAGAAATGTAACAAAAATAATTTGTGGGGATTAGCTACATTTGCAAACCAAGAAGCTGGCAGGTAGCACATATGAAAGCCACATGGGTTTCACACTGATGAATAAGCAAATGGAAGAGTAGAGCAGGAAAGGGCTTCAACTGAGGTTTAGATCCCTTCATTGTGCATTCAGTACCTACAACAAAGCCCACTGTTTATAATGCCTAGATCAACTTTAAGTCATTTTCTCACACATTGCTCTAACTGATTGGGAGGGTATTGGCATCTTTTCTCTTATCAAAACTGAAGCTATTATTGATGCGAAAGGAAGGCAAACACCACCTTTCAGAACCAACAAACTGGGGTAGCAACTAATGGCATAACATGAACTCAGCCAGGTTCTTTACAGCTTACTGAGAGATGGTCCACGAATAGAAGAAACAACTTCATCTGGGATTCACTGGAGCTGAATCCTGCTGGCAGGCATGCAAACCAGCCTTGAGCAAACTACTCCATTGCTTGATGTACGGATTTGTTCACGTTAGAACAAGGGCAAAGAGTCAGGTAATCACATATTCCCCAAAGAGTGTGCTCATGGAGTGAAACCAACATGGCCCATACATTCCAGATTCTGGGCGCTCTTAAACCTTGTGCACCACACAGGAGCCAAGCAGCTGAGACGCTTTTGCCCAAATAGAATTGTAGATCCTCATTTCCTCCCCTTCTTTTCCCCACTTGTGACTCAAGCCAGATTTCATCGAGCTATTTTTGTAATTACTAACATGCTGGAAATACAGCAGCGAGCCAGAAGCGAAGTAAAATGCAGCATCCAGCAAAAGAAAGAAAATCACGCTGAGTAACTGAAAGGCCATCTGCTGCTCACAGAGCTGCAGGGGTGAGAAGGACAATCTGCGCCGGACTATTTGTGTCCTCTCTCACATCAGACCCACCTGCATGTTGTCAGTGGCATCCCCAAGCAGTCCTCCAAAAGTGATGGCATTGGTTACCGTTGCCAAATAAATGAAGAGAATTGCCGAAAGAGCCTGAATATTTAAAGCATCATAAAAGTCACTGGCAAAAAATGGTGCTTTCCTCTTTATGTCCTTAATTAATCCACCGCAGAACCTGGGCAGGGAGAAAGCAAACATGTGATCAAGTAGAAGGTAAACAGCCATCAAATTCATCAAGACATAATTCACTAAGTTGCAAAGAGTTTGGACTTCAGATGCTTGAGTCAATGACAAGATACTATATAAGACAGTCTCATTTAGATGAGACAGGAAAAAAAATGCATGTGGAGAAATATGTCTTCTTCTCTCTCTCTTTTTCAGTTACCAGAATAGGTCCAACATTCCCTAAAATTCGTCCATTTGTTCTTCAGATGACAGCACGGAATAGATAAATTATATTTTCCATTTTCCAAGGACAAACATGCAAATACAGTGCACATCTCATCAAGCCCCTTAAGATGTCACAATGTCATTTCAACCCACTCTAGTGTCCACTGAGACCTGTAAGATGTGCACACTTGGCCATTATTCTCTGCTGGGAAAACACCATTCAACAACCCAGGCTCTAAAGCTCTAGCCTCATGGAGTTTACTCTTGGAGGTAGAATGTAGACAGTAAAATAAATAAATAAATATCAAGGAAAAATTAAATGGAGGTGGGAAATACATAGTTCTAGGGAAGCGGCATTGGGAAATATAGATAGATGGCTAGACTGGGCCTCTGGGAAAGTGATTTTGGAATAAGGACCCAAAGTAAAGAAGGCATGCTAGTGTGTGACAGGCAATAGTATGGGTTGAACCTCTGTACCAGCCTACTGTTCTTCCAACAAAACCTCAGGAATCAGCCTTGCCCATGCACAATGTGGCTCCTGTGAAATGTGTCCCTTTCTAAAGCCTGACGTGTTATTCTCAGCTGTGCAGAGCATCTTACGTCTGTATACACTGGGTTGTGTAGTCACTAAATGAATGTGGAAAGCAGGGAGAAGAAAGATTTAAACAACAGTCTGATGCAGTTCAACACATTAAATTCCATAACTTATATCTGAGCTGTAAGTTGAAAGTGACAAGGTTACTCCTAGTAAAATTTCCTTTAAGGCACTGTAGTCATACATGACGTTGAGATCTATGATGGACTACATATGTGATGGTGTCTCACAAGATGGTAATAGAACTTAAATGACACCTTCACATAAAGGCATCATTGGATATAGAAATATTCTCCAGTACATTTCTCTCCTTGTATGTTCTGGTGATATGCTGGCACAAATAAACTTATTCTACTGGGAGGTATATAAAAGCATATCATTACAGACACATATAGCTGTGTTACCAGTTCATGCATTTGATAGAATATAGCTTCTATTGTTATTTTACCGCATACTCCTTTGACTTATAACAATACGTGTACTGTAAAAAAAAAATACGCCATGTTAAGCTGGCAATGACCTCATACATGTCATCTTTATCTCGTCCCTTGATTGTATCAAGAGGCCACATGGAACAACTGGCTAATGCCTTTAGATTTTTGTAAGTAAACTCTGATATTTGTATGGTGACCAACTAACCTAAAGACAGAGTTCTAGACCATATTTCCATCATTAAGTAATATATAAGGTGGGAAGGCTTTTATTCTTAATTCTATCAGAGCAAGGGAAATAATTTGTTTTTGGGAGAGAAACCCAAGTGGGTCACAAGCAGAACGAAATAATTTCATCTCATTCAGATTCAACTGCATACTAAATGACATATTTTTAGTTTTTTTTTTTTTAAATCCTGCGATGATTTCCACATCTTCATGAAAAGAGTATTTTACTAAATTTTTTACTTAACCCAAAATGGAAAAAGATCATCTAACAATAAGAGGTTAACTGAAGGTTCTTGGGAATCAGAGTCCTCATTGTGGAGCAAGAGGATGGGGCAGTGGCCTACAGACCACCCCTTCCCTCATGTTACACACTCTGGAGCAAATGAACAGGGAAGGGAGGAAATCATGAAGCCACACTGGAAACCTTCAGTCAGGTACTGCCTATTGTCGCCTGCATAAACCTAACCTTTGCATCATCCCTTCAGGCGTTCCACTGGTCACACTGTCTAGATGTCAGTCTCCTAGGAGGTCTATGCCACAAACTTTTTCCTAACTCATACCCACATAGACTGTCTCTCGCCTACTTTAGCACTTCTCTTGAAAGTTGTCCTTCCCAACAAGGCCTACTCAGATCATTCCGCCTAAAACTACATGACTATTCATCACCAAAGTCACTTTCTCTCTCCACTTTCCTCATAAACCCTTTGGTGCATTTATTTATCTGCTTAAGATTTCTCACCCATCTCTATACAGTGGAGCCCATAAGGCTGGGCATTAATATATTACTATATCTCCAGTGCCTCTGACTAACAGATGCACTATAAATATCTGTTAGCTGAACAGAGGAACCACCAAATGACATATTGAAAATGAATTCAGAACAAGGAAGGGAAATGTAGATCTAAGGAAAACCTGATCATGAATGGCAAAAGGTTCCATCAGTTACCGGCCAGTTCTCTGTAGTTCTTCACAGTCACCGTGTCCTCCTCCTCCATGTCCTCCATCGTGAGGTGTGTCCCCATTCATCTGAACATTCTCTCCACCTGAGTACATATTCTTTCTAAGAAAGACAGCGGGGTGTAAGGAGAGATTAGTTTATTTTGTTCATTTGCTTTTATAGCTGTAGTATGCTTACTGGGGCCTTCTCAGAAAAAGACCATGGTGTCTTATTCTTTGCTAACAGACAATTCTTGAAGTGTTCTATCTGAAGGTGAGACAAATGGCTGAGTGCACAAAGATGTTAACTTATTGCACATTTATAGGAATGAAACTGTTTCACCTGGGGAATGTCAGATTTCCAGGAAATTGCTTCTCCTCAATTTTTCTGCTAAACTGCTTAACCCTGCTGACTCTACAAGGGCTCTTCTTGAGTAAAGTGATCTTTCCACAAACACAGACAGAAAGCCCCCAAAACATCCCCCAAAGAAGACCCATGACACTTTCCAACTTCAAGAGCTGGGCTGAGTGTCAGCACCAGAGAACATCAAAGCATATAACACTTATCTTACAGTGTCAAGTAAATCTAAAGCCAAGGCATGTCAGCAACTCATTTGAGGCTAAATGTGGGGATCTAGAACTATCAAATCATGGCCTGGTCCTATGTCTTTTCGAAATGCAACCTCCTGAAGGAATTGACACTCCCTGAATATTGACAAGCACATGGCAGCTTACCTTTTGTCAGATGATGGGAGACTCTTTGGAGGTTCTATCCTGATTGCTGGGTCCCATTCCCCAGGTGGAAGGACAATGACTTCGTCTAGGAATTCATCAATGCCAGCAATCAGGTCGTGCCTGTCTTTTGCTTTGTAAGCAATGTCATGGAACACCTGAATAGCAAGAGATGTGCTGATCAGCCGAGTGAACTTTCTGAATGGCTCACAACATATCCCAGCTGAGTAATACAACCCACAGTGCACTCTGACGTGCCCATAACTACACTCCTCTCATCTTCCCCACTATTCAGTCTATTGAGGGGCACAGCTTATGATCTCAGTATCTAAGTAGAGGCTTGAAGACATGGAATTTTAAGTATGTTTTTCTGTTAAAATTCTCAAAATTGCTGTGAGAGCCCAGATGAAAATGTTTTCAAGATCCCTACTGAAAGCCATTCCCAGAATTAAAAAGTTACTGGACAACTGACTATGAAAATCCAGTAGGAACAAGTTCACGCTGACTATTAAAATCAGGATAAGACACACTGCTGTCCTCTAACAATGTGAGTTGTTTTAAAAGAAAGAAGAAAGCCGGAGCTATATTGGCAACAAGGAATAAATAAGTGCTCATCTCCCTCCCTTCTAGCAAGGTGATATCTAACTCACCAAATATAGTATAGGGCTTTGAAAGATAAATATCCCTCATTGTCTTGGGCATTTGAGTACTAGGTCTCCAGTTGGTGGTACTACTTGGGGAAGTTTAGGAGATGTGGCCTTCCAGGTGGAAATATGCCACAGAGGGTGGGCTTTATGAGCTTAAAGTCTCACTCTACTTCTAGTTTATTCTCTCTGCTTTTGCTTGAGTTTGATGACAGACGCTCTCAGCTTCCTGTAACTGCCCTCTGCCACCATCCTCCCCATCCCCCCATAATGGTGGCAGTGGATTCTTATCCCCATGAAGCTATAAACTTAAATGTTTTCATTTTTCTATAAGTTGCCTTAGCCATGGTGTTTTGTCACAGTGTTAAAAAGGTAACTCATACAGACAGCAAAAGCTTTGTGTCTTTTGTTCACAACAGAGACAGGGTTTCAAAGTGGCACACAATCCCTTTTCCCAGCATCCCATTCTTTTAATTGAGCTGATCTGAAGGTCTTCACAAAGTCAACTTTGGAAGTTAATACTTTAATCATCCAGAAGAGAATGTAGCGCCCATTCAATAACCCTCAACTTGTGCTAATTCTTTCTACTACATAACTTCTCCTAGAAAATAGTTTTTAGAGCTGTCAGGCAACACTGGTTTGGGAGTTCTGGGGTTGAGGAGAAGGCAACACACAGGGAAAGTATCTCCTCTGCAGCAGACATACCCTCTCCCCTAATTTTCTCTGAGATAGAGTCAGAAATATTCTTCCCAGCCAACCTTGCCAGAAATATTGGCAGTTTCAATTAAGCAGAGGTAAAAAACAGTAAGGTTGTAAAATGTCTGTCAGAAGAAGCCCTCGTCAGTATCAGAAAGCCACTCTATGCCCATTACATGTGGCCTAAAGCATTCTTAATTTATATTAGGGCAGAATTTTAAAAGAACATAACTATAAACACACAAAATTAAATAAATCAACCAACTAAAATGAGGGGAATAAATGTTCTCTGAGGCAGACAGCAGAGTTGTGCACCAGTGCCCCTGAATCCAGAAGAGAGCAAACAACTGAACAATTCTCATGCAGAACTTCTATACCTCAGAGGGACAGAGCCCATAACTCCACACTTAACAGGAAAAACTGACAAATCGATCCACAGCACCAAAGTAAAATATTTGAGAATAAGCAAAGTGGAAAGACTAGAAAGCACAAACCGATGCTCCTCCATTCAATGGCATTTATTCTATTGTAAGACTAGTCCAGAGTTTCATTGTCACTAAATATGCTTAGTAATATGAAAGCTACTGTAAGTGTGGATGAAATATCCGCTCAAATCACTGGATAGGAACAGTACCTCATGCACCATAGACTGGCCTCCCCACAAGACATAAATCATAAAACCAAATACATTCGGATACCTAAGAAAATGTACTTTTATTATACATTGTTTTATAAAAGTCATCACTTCTGAAATAATATAGTGCAAGGACACGTGATAAATTAGATATTTTAGGGGATAAAGTTGAACTTATTCAGCAATACTTATACATCAGTTTTGACAACTGAAGATACATAAGGATTGTAACAAGGTACCTGCATATTGGTCGTTTCAGACAGCAACAATTTGTTGGTGTTGAGAACACTCAATATCCTCTTTACTAGCTAGTTTAAGAAATTTAGGGTATTTTCTAAATACTCTTGCTTAGAAAAAGAGAGAGAAACGCATTTTGTGTTAGAATCTAACACAAAAGCAAAATATATTGTTTACTTATTAAAAGCTATTCTACATAAAGAAGGTCATTTTCTACAAATGACTGTAAGCCACTCTGTGGAGGGCCTTGTAGCCAGATAATTCTAATTGAATAAAGCATGACAGTCAATTCATAGTTTAGATAGACACCAAGACAATCACACATCCGCTTGACCTGTTTCCCTACCTCATCAGACATCAAGGTGGCGATGGCTCTTCCAATCTCATGGTAGGACTTGGCTTTCCCCTTTGGACCTAAGAGAATGAACAAGAACCTAAAGGAGAAGAGAAGCAGAGGTTATAACACATAGTTCATCAAATAGAGAAATCATCAGCTTAACCCATACAAGTTCAGCTGCAGAGACCATCTTTATCGTGCATGTACACCAGTAAGTGCATTCATGTGTGTACATGTGGAGGTCACAGGTCAGTGCCATCCTGAGCAGTTCCTCCCCTTAGTTCATGAGACAGGGTCCCTTACTTCATCACAAATGTGGCCCAAATAGTAGCCCAGCAAGTACCAAGGATCCTGCTGTCTTTGCTTGTTCAACCCTAGGATTACAGGTACACTCCACTGCACCTGTCTGGTTACATTGGTGCTGGCCATCTGAATTTGGCTTCTTGTGTTTGTGAAGCAACATTTTACAGGAATGAGTGATCTACCCAGTCCCTCGAATTCATCTTTAAAACAAATAAAGATGTAATGCTAGGGAATGGGAAAGATACTCTTTCACACTATCACAAGGTATTAGTGTAGTGAGATATTCACTGTGTCCACTTCTGTGGCACTGACCACGCCCATTGGGATGGAGACAGGGGAAGAAGTGACCTGGGGAACTAGGTCTGAGGAGGGGCCCGGGAGCGCTCTCTTGCTGGCAGGACACAGACAGGAGAGCATCCGGAGGCATCCTTGGGACCAGAAACCTGCTGGTGTTCATCTGTCCATGTTGTAAGTTATTTCTCCCTGAATAAACATCTATTCGGCCTATTTGTTTCTCTTGATCCTTATTAAACCACAATATATTAGAGTTAATTTGAAGGTCTAAGGGAAACCTAAAAGTCTTCTTCATGGAGCAGGAAAAGTTTTACTTATGTACTTCACAAATTGCTGATCTCTCTCTGTTTTAAACTGCCCACTCTCTTCATTCCTACTGATTTTAAAAATGGTGGTGTAAGTGTGTTAAGGCCATTAACTATGAAGACTTAGTGCATATTCTCATTTCTCTGACCTTCCTGACCCAGTATGGGCAGTGACAAATGTTCTTCCCCATAGTTTTTTTAGGAAATGCTGTTATTCAGCTAAGTGGGATTCAATGCAAACAAAACCTTCACAAGTAAGCCACACACTGATAAGAAGGAGAAATAAATATGTGACAAACAATAATAATAATAATGATAAAACCAAAGCACCATTCACAGTTAAAAACCTTTATGGGTTCCAGCATTTTCCTTTCCAGTTTTAATTTCTAGATAACATAAAAAGCATTGCTCCAGAACAAATATGTCCTGAAATAAGCAACGATGAACTTGTCACTTTGGAAGGAGTATCTTCCTTACCATGAAGGTAAAGATAAATGTGTCCACTGAGGGAGAAGGAACCTGACAAGTGAATAAGTAAAAGATGCACAAAAGGTGACTTTGGGTAAATCCTTGCCTTGTGACTGCTCATGTCTTACCTAACAGGGAGAAAATGAAAACAACACATACAATGGCATCATATGTTTGAACAGCTTCCGAAAGCCTGCAAGGCACCTTCACCACCTTATTTAAATTCCTATACAACCCTTCTAGAAAATAGAACTCATTTTGTTTAACATTAAGGAATCTGAGGGTGGTGAAGACAGTAGGTGAGCCCAAGGTTTGTGCCTAGTAAAGGACAGGGCTGAGGAAAGAACATGTGGACATGGCTCTGGTTCAACCTCCAGCATCAAAACAACAAAATCAGGAGAGGGCAGACTGTGGTACACAAACACCTTATGCCCCACTCCTCCCTCAATGACTCTACTCACGCAGGCACACGCACACACATGTGCATACACACACACACACACACACACACACACACACCTCTTCTGATGCACTGGAGCTGTGATTCAACAGACAAAAATCTATCCAGAAATCATTTTTCACAGGTCCCTCCTGGAAAAGAATTGTATTTTCTTGCTTAGACAAGAAAGAGTAGACAAGATTTGGTGGCACTAGGAACGGTTTAGCAGTTTCCTTCGCTGAAGTTTTCCTTTATTTATTTAGTTCTCTAACTCACTTTAAAAAGAAAAGGATTTAAATAAATGTCACCATCGATCCCAAAATGGTCCTAAGCATATGAGTACTTTTCTTCATTTGCAAAATTCATTCCAAAGAAGATGGGGGAAAAAAAGAATAAGGAATCAAGATTGTGACAAATGTTCTTACAAGTTTGAACACTCAGATTTTGTTATCAGAATGACCATAAAGTCATCCAGAACTTATTTGCTCAGAACCTGCCCTGTAGTGGAGGTGAGACTCACTGTCCCGGGCTACCACAGTAAATGAAACAGCAAAGGAAATTGGCAAATCAGAAGCCTGCTCAAGGATGAAAGTGATCACTATTGGAACTGCACTTTAATCTTCCAACACTTCCATGGGTGCTTGGGGTTTTCTCCCCTGAAGATAACACTTCACGTAGAGCAATGAGGCACACCACAGACTCCTTGACAGCAAAGTGGGTTTTTTGTTTGTTTGTTTTTGTTTTTTGGTGTGGATTTTTTTGTTGTTGTTGTTATTGTTATTGTTGATATTTGGCCTAAAGGGAATGGTCATTGCTCCTAGCACAACACATGCAAAAATATTTAGCCACTAAGGCAAGGTCCCATTAAGGAAAAAAAAAAAAGAAAATTAAATTACTAATGGTTGTATTTGCCAGTTCTGCTTGCCTGTCTATAAAGCATCATGCCAGAATGACAGAATGGGCAGTTTTAGGCAAAATGGGCCGGTGTAGCTACATGAAAGAAAGAAGTCTTGACACTGGATTTCTCTTGTCTGAACCTTTTATTATTTCCATGTATCTAAATTGTAATGTTCCAAATAATGTGCAATCATTCAAATCTTTTCAGGGTCATTTTTGCCTCTCCCACCCCTCTTCAGTGCCCCCATATGAATTCAGCTTGCAGAAACACCCTCTGGAAACTGATGCGTGGATTCATTATCAGCCTGTACACATGGCAATAAAATCTAAATAAATATTATGTTGTCTGTGAGGAAATACTCTCCATCACTAATAATCCTCAAATGTAAAGCTGGCCAGAGGATAAGTAACTGTCTAAGACCTGACAGAGTAACGGAGGCACCAAGTCAGCACAAGGGCATACGTTTTCTATAAAAACATTTACAGCTTGGTCTTTGCTCGATAATACCACAGAATGGAAGGAAGCAGAAGGTTAGTGGAAGTTATAACACATACTATACCAATAAGCCAGAGTATGTGGATTATATTGGTTCAATAACCAGGAGAAAATGTATCTAGGCTAAAATAAAGAGACATTTCTTCATTATAAAAATGTCACCAAGTGCCAAGTGGAAACAACATGGTAACATAAAAGCTTTCTTATTGTTTCAGTTAGGAACAGTTCAGAGATCTACTCCCTGAATGGTAGGAGGAGTTCTGGGCATAAGTGTGCAAGTTCGAGTTTCAACTGTGGGAACAGAGAACAGAAGCAGCTTCTCATCCACCACACTGTTGTTACAGGGATGGGGATACGTGAGGCCTGAGGCCACCACATATGGAACAAGCCTGAAAGCCAAAGCTCCCTCTGCATAAGGCCTACCCCCCTTCCACTCTCAAAGAAGCAAAAGCTGTTACAACTTTTACGATGGACAGACATCCTGCCAAACTCAGCTTTTATAATGTTCTGAAAACTCTTTTCATGACACAAGCTGGTTTTTGTCAATGGACAGCTGTTATTTTTAACCAGAAGCCTTTTTCTTTATTAACAAATTAAGAGTAAACATCACATTGGTGTGGCTGGAAGCAAATAGTCCATGTTGACAGCTGTGGGGGGGAGCGAGCAGTGAACTCATGTTACTGGATTTGTTCTATTCATTTACAACTACAAATGTCAGAGCTAGAATTTATAACAGTTCCTAGTTGTCTCCAGAAGTCCCCTTCCTATTTTTGTGAGGGGTTTTGTTGTTGTTGTTTTGTTTTCATGTAACAATTAAGCCTGCAGAGGGTGCCTCTGGCACACTTCACAACAGAAAGAAACTCCAGATGATTCATGTCCATAACCAGTGGCCTATACAAAATAATTATAGGCAGAGTCAGTGTCAGAAAAGAAGCTAGCCTTCCTAAACCACTGGGTCTTTTTAGAAAGGATACACCCCTCCCACCCTTCCTGATAGATCACAACTATTTCTAGAATTAAGCCAGCATGTTCTGATCCCTTACTCCATTCTCTAAAGTATCATAACCCATTATGCATAATGAGCAGCTTTGGAAGATGTGGCTAACTTGTATCTTCAACAATAGACTCATAAGGACCACACCTCATCACTACCAGCTTATGTGCAGTACAGGTCATGGACAGAATCCATAGCAGGTATGCTAGCCCAAACTCTCTAAAATATTGTAATGTTTTTAAATGATTAAGTCCAAACTATTTCTCATAGGCAAGTGATTATAACACACAACAACTATATATTAATTTATAAAATGCTAAAAAGATAAGTATTATAATATTTAGAAGTCTAAAGTTCACTGACTAGCTTTTTATCTTAGATGAAGATCTGAAAGGGATAGACTGATTTATAGTTATAACTTCTTACTTTCCTGAAGTGTCTTTTCCTAACCCATTCTAGATACCTAAGTTTCCCTGAACTTTGACCACTGTGTCAGAAATGTAAAGCTCTACCTCTAGCATGAATAGCAAATCTTCCCATTGCCTCCATTCCAAGGCTGCTAAACAGTAATAGGAAAATGTACCAATATACATCTCTCTGAATGTATATAAAGTGACAGCAAGAAATGTGCCTTTGAGATCTTAGAAACATCATAAACACATCCTAGCAAGTCACCAGACATCAATGACTAGTGTGTCTGCTTTTACATGAAAAGCCAGACCTACCCATACACAGACACACAGCCAGCCATTCGCAGCCACAGTGCTGCCAACAGAGGCTGCAATGGAACACAAGAAATTAACTATAAAGAACCCTGTGAGCTTGTCTAGGAAGGGTACCTGGGAGCCAAACATCTGAAAAGGCCCAGAATAGTAATTCTGTTTCTCAGGAAGAAGAATAATGACATTCACAGCATAATTCTCCTCTACATTTTAGGAAACAGATAAATATGAGAAGACATGAGCAATGAAAGACTTTTCAAGTGTGCCCGTAGAACAACAGAACAGTGTAAAAGTTAAAACCCACCAAGGAGCACAGGCTGGGTCCATCACAAAGACTCCACATTCCTCATGGGATTCACTTTACTGGATTTCACAGGATGCAGCCATTGTAAATATCCTCCTGTACACACACACACACAAACACACACACACACACACACACACACACACACCACAAACAAAACAACAACAAAAAGCCAGCTAAGGAGCCTCTCTAATGGGTGATTACAGTTTACTGTGCTTCTGAAGACAGCAAACACATAAAGTATTTCTTGGAAAAATATTAAATCTTAGGGTATATTTTTTAGATTACATCCCAGAAATAGTTTTATGATACTAAATTATACCCCTTCACTTCTCTTAAATAGATGGCTTCACTCCCCTTGGTCATCAGATGATGCCACATTTCAACTCAAAATTAATAGCTCCCTCTGGTACAGAGGAGAATGAACTAAGGAACAAGGCAGACAGGAGGAGATGGTGAGAGACACACAAAAAAAAAAAAACATGGCTTCAAACTGTGTGTGTGTGTGGATCACTGGTAAACAAAATGCCTTTAAAATTTTATTTGTAGCTTCTAAAGGGAAAAAAAGGTAATAAAAATGAAAAGGCAAGAGCAATTTTCTTTAACATTTCTCAGCATGTCCTCTCTTTCCAGCCCCAGAAAAGTTAGTGCCGAGACATACAGAAAGCCATCAGGGCACCAAGCTGGACTCCAGCCATCCTGAGTCAGCGGCTTGCCAGGTGATTGCTCAGACGGAACTGCAAGGCTCTGGCTGGAACGTTACAGAAAACACCAATCACAATAATCCCATTAATTGCACAGCTGCGATCGCCTCCTTTCCAATGCTATGCAGCCAGTGTCTGCCCCAGGTATTTAAAAAGGATGGGTGGGAGGACCCATCCTTGTGATCAGGAAGAATGGAGAAACTGAAGGGGCTTTGGGACACTGGCTTCTCATTTTCTTCCTAACCTGGCTCAGAACAAACCTTGAACCTCTTGTCACTGTTGATTAACCATGCTCAGACCATCTGACTCCACTGAGGGGGAGCTATAGCCCTTCCTATTCACGTGTAGATGCTCAAAAAGAAGTCACCTTCCTCTGCCCCGAGACCCACAGGAAGCACACTCCTCCCCAATCAGGTAGTAATTTCCTGATGTCAACCTGAAGCTACAAATTACTCTTTAACATCTCTCTTAGCCAAGTCTAAGTGAGGCGTTGGCTTTTCTACCATCATCATGTGCTTCCATCAAGCATCCAAACCACAAAGCACAGCTTCACAGACAGATCACAGGATGACTTCTAGGGTACAGAGCAGTAGAGTAACATGTGATTGTAACATAAGCATGATTCATTTGAATGCAAAATGGCATGCTTGATGTAAAGTGTACAAATTTAAGTGCTTAGAGAGATGACAAGTTTTACAAAGATGAGCATTTACATATGTATATGCATCTATGTGTTGGTGTCTCTATATATGTGAGCCCAGGAACAATTTTCTCATAAGACAGAGGAAATGAAAATACCTATGACCTCGGAACTACTTCCTAATTGTACTGATCTGGACAAGGTATTTAAACTCGCTGTCTCCATCTCTTAAATGTGAATACTAGAGTTTGCATACTAAAAGAATGACCCACAAGAAGAAACTAATACATGGGCCAATGAGTTAATAAAACTGCCATTACTGTTACCACTCAAGTAACATGTAATTTGAGGGCACAAATGTCAGTTAGGCACATTCAAATGAAACCTCTCCAATGCACTGAGTGTATCCTCACTCCACTGATTCGCTTTCTCAGAAACTCCCTGTGAACCCTACCACATGGGAGAACAGCTTACCTTGTGGGCACAGGGACTTCAGTCAGAGCACCCAGCATGACAGCCTGCTGTAGCCGAACAAAGGCAATGAAGGGAGTATCCAAGAAGTCAACCTCCCCAACGAGCACATTGGAAGCTTCTGCATCACGTGGCAGTTTTTTCATAAATTTATTCTTCAGCTGAATGGGAAGGGCCAAGAAAATATAATTTATTTCAAGAGAGAGAAGAGTAAGGAAACATACTATATACCTTCCTCGTAGAAAATCTCTTCAAATGGCTCTTTACGCAGCAGTACTTGGCCAGACAGTTTTATATTCTGATTAACCATTACATTATAGCAATCATTTATCTGTCCTGTCAAAAAATACTAAAGATGCAATAACATAGGATAGATATTATACACACACTCATATAGTATGCGACCTATCTTTGTTAACTGATTTATTCACTCACTCAATACACTATTGAGAATTCACACACAATGATCTAAGCCAGAGGGCTAGCAGTAAAGAAAGACTCATTCCATATCCCCTATTAGGTTCATATTAACCATGGGGGACATAAAATATGATGCAAATTAATGAGAAGTACTATTTCTCAGAGCTGCCAAGGAAGGCTTCTGAAGAAACACATTTGACAATGGAGAAAGGGTACAAGCCAAGTGCAAAGACATACTGAAACACCATGCAAGCAAAAGGAAAATGAAAAGCCTTCAGACAGGAAGGAGGTTGGTGGCTAAAAGAGTAGTAAGAAGTCAAGTGTGGGAAGCTAAGAAGCAAGGATGAGAAAAGAAACTGAAGCTGTATGCCATGTGCAAGGGTTTAAGTAGGAAGATGTCTCCTACATAACTTGAACATGACTTGGAAACCACCAGTGTTGAAGGCCACAGAACAGAATGACACAACCCTGAGTATGAGCATTGACTGAGAAAAGCACCAAGACCCAGACCCTGAGCCACTCTATCCTTCAGAGAGATAGAACACATTGTGGAAGACAGTGGAGAAGAGTGAAAAAGAGGGGAACTAGACTTTACCAACAGCCGGAGAGGAAGGCTGAAGTAATGATCAAGTGTTAGCAGCTTCATCCTACGCTAGTAGAGGTTCCAAAGGATGAAACTTAAGAGTGGATCAAAGAACCTGGCACAGCAGCCATGCTGGGAAATCTCAGTAAGAGTGGGTACAAGGGACATTAGGGAAACAACTGAACAATGAATCAGGGAGTGGACACTGGGAGGACCAACTGTTACGGATTGCTACAGAGAAAAGCTCTGTAGCTTTTCTCTGTAGGGAGGTCAGTGGAAGAAAGTACCAAAATGAAGAAAAAAAGTTTAAAAGTGTTTATCTCACAATCCTTTAGAAAGTGAACAGAATGGCTCTAAAGGAGGCAGATTGCTGCTATAGGAACGGTAGAGAATAACTACAAAAATAACTTCAAACCAAACATCCTGGGACTACCAAGCAGGGGTGGTATCCGCATCACAGATAGAGGAGTCAACTGTACACAGGAACACAGCTTACAATCCTACCAAAAAAGCAGACTGGATGGGTTTGAACGTGGGTGATTTGAGAGACTTGCTGGGTGGTGATGAGGGCTTTTAAGGACTCCTATTTCTGCAGTGAACCAAAAGTGAGCTGATGGTGAGGGGAGGGAAGTGTTTGGAGGATTAAGGAGAGTGTAAAGCCATTTTCTCTCTGAGTGAAGGCTGCTGGACACAGTTGATTTGAAAGTTTGTCTAATACTCATGATTCCTTTATACAATTCAGGGGAATTATTTCAAGCAGACAGATAAAGATAAGAACTTGAAAAGACCACACAAAAGGCACAGACTTCTAATAAACAATTTCTACCCATGATACATGCCTTATCCTTCAAGCCAAAAGCAACCGTGAGCATAATTGTTACTGCCATAGATTACTGCTAAGACGGGAGGTGGCAGGCATGGCTCAATATTCCCAATTAGTAAGAAGGCTGTGTCAACATTTTCCTTTCAATCTCTACTTAAGAGTTTCTTAACTGGGGAAAATATATGATATGGAAACTGATATCTAGCAGCCTATTACCCTCCATCACCTTCCATTACCACCTGTGTGAGAAGGCAGCTCTAAAGTGAAACAGCAAAAAAAGAAAGGACCAAGACATTATGGGAACCAAAATGAATGTACAAATAAGGCAAAGCAGAGTACATATTCTTAGATATCAACAACATGGTTACTTTAAGCAGTATGGAATCTTCCAAAACTCCTACCACTCAGCATGACTGTATTAAAAATGTATTATAATGTCATTTAGACGAAAGCTGTATAGAACTGATTATCTTGCTAGATGAAATAAATAAGACTCTGAATACAAATATCATGTTTTTCTCTCACATCTCATATACGTGATCTTGACTTAAATTTTATACACACAGGCATATGTATATGAAAATGCAATGAAAAAATAAAGAGAATGTGGTCTAAATGGAGGGAGAGAAATATAATAGGAGAATATAATAGGAGGAAGACAAACCACTGTGTTTTCTTCTGTCATATGCACAATATAGATTTCATAGACACAGCTACATACACATATTTGCGAGATTGTGACATGAAACACAAAGGGATATTATTAGGGGATGGGAAGAGACCAGCAAGAAGGGAGGAAAGACAGAGGAAAGTAGGGGGCTGAATGTGAATAAAGAACAATGGCGCTGATGTATGAAAAGATAATGAAACCCCATTAATTTGTACACTAAAAAAGTTTATTTTTTTAAAGTACCTTTTTAAAAAAATGTGAAAACAGCAGACCCAAAAAATGTCTGCAATCACTGAGTGGTCAAAATTCTTATCACCTAGGAAGCAAATGAGTGGTTCCCAATACACAAAGCAAACTGGAGTATGGCTGAGTGGCCCACACACTGACAAAATAAGGCCTTAATCTCTTCCCAGAAAAATCCTTCTTTATGGACACAGAATGCAAAGCATTTAAGAATCTGACTGTCTAGCCCTGTCTCTGCTCTAGACTCCTGGCTACAGGTAGCCAGACTCACTGACTGCAATCCCCTAGGCTACTTGGTCTCATACTTCTGACCAAGGAGTACCCTTTGGAGCTTAGCACAGCTTGTTCTAATGTCTCAGCCCACTTCTTTGGAAACTTCAGTAGTCATTTCTGAATCATACTCATGTTAGATGTTCCAAAGAAGGTCATAGCAGTTCTTTGGAAATAAACTCAAGATCCACTTTACGCATAATTCATTTGTAATAAGTACTACAAGTAACAGAAACAGGTTTTGTAGCAATGAAAATCAGATCAATAGACCATCAAACTGTCCAGAAAAGTTATGGAAGCTTTTAGGGCTCAACTGCAACAACTATGAAACCCACAAAACACACAGAACATCCAGTCTACTAAATACCCAACAGTGTCTGGCTGGCTCTGTCCCATTTTAACTGAAATTACTGTATCCCGATAAATCAGGCCCTAGATAAATCTTCCCTACCTAAACACACTCCTTGGGTGATCTTGTCAAGTCTTACGCTTTTAAAATTCACCTACATGCTCATGACTCACAAATACATACCTTTCGCAAAACTCCAGACCTGCAACACCTTCATCTGGATTTCTACCACACATTTCATCCCACACATCCAAAATGAGCCTTCCTAATAGTGCCCTCCTGCTCTATCCCATCCCACCCTCAGCCAGCTCTTGCATCCTTCACTGCCTGCTGAACAGCAGCAATTCCCTTTTTCTATACCTCAGACCCAACACTTCACAGTCACCGTCAACCCTTCTCTTTCATTCATAACCCAGGTTCATTTCACCAGTGGACCCTGCTAGATCTACAATCGCACTGCATCTAGATTCCCACTGTTTCTTACCACCTTCAGCATCACCACCTGAGGCTATGATGTGATCATTCTCTACGCGGCACTGGCTTCATGCCTGAACTGCCATTTTCTACCTCTGTTCCCCAACTATGAATGAAAGTGGCCAGACCAGGTATACCAGAAGCCAGATCACTTCATCCCTGTACTCAAAACCCTCTATTGGCTACAACTTCATGAGATGAAGCCAAGACAATTATGAAAACCCCTGAGTCCTACCATCATCTAGAGGCAATAAGCTCTACACTCTAATTGCCTTCCATTTTCTCCTGGTCTTTGCTGAGGCAACCATTCCAGCCTCCATGTCCTCATCCATATGCCCTGGGCCTGCTCAGCTTAGGCCCTTCTTCACAGCTGGTGTTTTCCTCTACAGGAAGGTCTGCAGCATGCCCTTCCTCAGCTCTTCACTGGCTACTAAGAGTGGCTTTCTCAGTTGAGAGACTGTCCCTACTCGTGAATCAGGATACCTGCTCCCTGCTCCCTCTCCCGACAAAATTTCCCATTTCTCTCTCTGCCTTGATTGTTGTTCCTTGTACTTATCAAACATACCTCTAATCTTCATTACCTACCTCCCCACTCCAATATAAGCTCCCTATAGGTAAAATGATCATCTAATGTGCTCAGTGTTAGGTTCCCTATGTCTCAAAGAATACTTGAGAAGAAAGGTTAACAGCTGCTGAATGAATGAAAGGCAATTACTATTTCTACCCTTCTCCTTCCCCTTCTTTTTATTTATATTTTAAACTTTTTTCCATTTTATATGTCTATGTATGTATGTGTTTGCTTTTGTGTATGTAGGCATAAAGTAGTGTGTGTCTGTATGCATGTGTGCATGTGTTGTTTTCATGTGTATGGGCATATAGGACTGTGTGTCTGAGTGTGTGTGTGTGTGTGTGTATGTTTGTGTGTACTTTTGTGTATATGGGCATATAGGGCTTTGTGCACTTGCAAAGGCCAGAGACTGCAGTTGGAAATGACTGGGAATCATCCTTAGTTGTTCATCCACATAATCCAATCAACTCTCTACCTCAGCTGGGTGTTTCAGTAAAAACCAACTTGGCTAGTCTCACCCACCCGCTGACTTACTCTGGTAATCCCCCATGTCTGCCTCCCAGGGTGGAATAATAGGTGGGCCCCCACACCCACCTCTTCAGCTCACAACTCTAGCCCTTGTGTTTCTGCAGAAAGTGTTTTACAAGTGAGTTGCAACCCTCCTCTTTAAGAAGTTAGTCAGTGGCACCCCACCTGGCCATGAAAGTAAACAAAAGGCCTGGATGGGCCACTGTCACTAAAGTCCTTCCCTAACAAGTTAT